TTTTTTTTTTGAGACAGGGTCTTGCTCTGTCACCCAGGCTGGAGTGCTGTAGCACAGTCTTGGCTCACTACTACCTCCACCCGCTGAGTTCAAGTGATTCTCCTTCCTCAGTCTCTCGGGTAGCTGGGATTACAGACGTGTGCCACCACACCTGGCCAATTTTTGTATTTTTAGTAGAGATAGGGTTTCACCATGTTGGCCAGGCTGGTCTCAAACTCCTGACCTCAGGTAATCCACCTGCCTTGGCCTCCCAAAGTGCTGGGATTACAGGCATGAGCCACCATGCAGAGCAGGCAGTTAATACTTTTAAGATGTTGCTGCACTATCTTCTGTTCGTATTGCTTCTGAAGAAGCATCACTATCTTCTGCTTGTATTGTTTCTGAAGAGACATCATTTTTATCTCTATTCTTTTGTATATAATTTGTTTTTATTCCTCTGTATGCTTTCTTCCTCTTTCTCTTCCTCTTTCTCCTTCCTTCTTCCTTCTTCCTTCTTCCTTCTTCTTCTTCTTCTTGACAGAGTCTCACTGTCACCCAGGCTGGAGTGCAGTGACGTGATCTTGGCTCACTGTAACCTCTGCCTCCCCGGTTCAAATAATTCTCGTGCTTCAGCCTCCCAGGTAGCTGGGACTACAGGTGTGCAACCAATATGCCCAGCTAAATTTTTTTTGTATTTTTAGTAGAGATGGGGTTTCGCCATGTTGCCCAGGCTAGTCTCAAACCCCTGGCCTCAAGTGATCCACCCACCTTAGCCTCCCAAAGTGCTAGGATTACAGGTGTGAGCCACCATGTCCAGTCTCTGACTGCTTTTAAGACTTTCTTTTTATCACTGGTTTTCAGCAATTTAAGTATGACATGCTTAGTGTGACTTTCTTCTTGTTTTTTCAGATTGGAGTTTGTTGAACTTCTTAGATCTATGTGTTTGCAGTTTTCATCAAATTTAGAAAATTTTAGACCACTCCCTTTCAAGTATTTTTTTTCTGTCAGTCCTGTCTTTTATCCTTCTGAAACTCTAATTACATATATGTTAGGCTACTTGATTTTATGGCACAGCTAAATGATGTTGTGTTTTTCTTTCTTTCTTTTTTTTTTTTTTTTTGGTCTTTTTCTCCCCTGCATTTCACTTTGGGTAGTTTCTGTTGCTATGTCTTCACATATTGTCTACAATGTCTACTACGCTGCAAAGTTCATCCAATGTATTTTTCTTATCTCAGACATTGTACTGTTGCTATGTCTTCACATATTGTCTACAATGTCTACTACGCTGCAAAGTTCATCCAATGTATTTTTCTTATCTCAGACATTGTACTTTTTAATCTCTGAAAGTTCAATTTAAATCGTTTTTTTTGAAACAGAGTCTCACTCTGTCACCCAGGCTGGAGTGCAGTGGCGTGATCTCAGCTCACTGCAATCTCCACCTCCCAGGTTCAAGCAATTCTCCTGCCTCAGCCTCCCAAATAGCTGGGATTATAGGCACCTGCCACCATGCCTGGCTAATTTTTGTATTTTAGTAGAGACGGGGTTTCACCATGTTGGCCAGGCTGGTCTTGAACTTCCGACCTCAGGTGATCTGCCCGCCTCTGCCTCCCAAAGTGCTGAGATTACAGGTGTGAGCCACCGCTCCTGGCCCAATTTGAGTTTTTTCAATATCTTCCATTTCGGTCTTCTTCATGTTCATATTTTCCTCTGCTCTCTTGAATATATAGAGTATACTTAAATGTTTTAATATCTTCGACTATTAATTCTATCTTCAGTATCATTTTTGGATGTTTTGATTGATTAATATTTGTTCCCAGTTATAAGCCAGATTTTCCTGCTTCTCTTTTCAGTAGAGGCCAAACGTGGTGAATTTATGTTATTGGGTGATGGATTTTTTAAGTTCCCTTTTCATTCTGTTTAATATTTACAGGCCTGTCCTCTGATGCAGTTAATTTCTTGGCAATAGTTGGATCCCTTTGAGGCTTCTGGGGTGGGTTGTTTGTTTGTTTGTTTGAGACAGAGTCTCACTGTGTCACCCAGGCTGACATGCAATGGCAGTATCTCAGCTGCAACCTCCGCCTCCCAGGTTCAAGCGATTCTCATGCCTCAGCCTCCCGAGTAGCTGGGACTACAGACGCGTGCCACCATGCCTGGCTAATTTTTGTATTTTTGGTAGAGACGGGGTTTGTCCATGTTGCCAGGCTGGTCTTGACCTCCTGGCCTCAAGTAATCTGCCTGCTTCGGCCTCCCAAAGTGCTGGGATTACAGGCATGAGCCACCGTGCGCAGCTGAGGCTTGTTTTAAAGCTTTATTTGGACACATCCAGAAGAGTTTTGACTCTAGGATTAATTTGGTCCCACTACTGAGGCAATACACTTTTTAGCTGTCGATGCCTCATGTATTAGGAGGTTTTTACACTCTGGCTGGTGGGAATATTATCTGTTCTCAGCCCTGTATGAGCCTCAGGGGTTGTTCCACCTGCCTGTCCTGTGAATGTTTTCCTAACCTTAGTACCTTCCTCAAAAGCATACTCAACCAAATTTTTGGGGTAAACTCTCTGCAAAAGGCACAGAACTCTCTATTTCTATAAGGCCCTCTCCTTTCTGGAATTCTGTCCTATAAATTCTAGCCACCTTTACCCAAACTCTGAAGTCTGTGTCTCAACTCAGTGAGACCAGCAGAATCTGATTGCTCTCCCTGCCTGCGGTGCTGGGGACCTAGAAAGGCTCTTCAGGCAGTAAGTGGGGCACTCACAGGGCTCACCTTATGTGTTCCCCTTCTCGGAGCTTGTTGTCCTATCCTGTCTGTTGTCCAATATTTGAAAACCATTGTTCAATATATTTTCTCTGGTGGTTAAAATTTGATTTTGGGCAGAGGGTGAATCCAGTCCCTGTCACTCCATCATAGCCAAAAGCAGAAGTCCTGCGTCACTTTATGGTCACCTATAATGCAGTAGATGCTGTGAACATAGGTTTGCTACTCCTCACACCAACTCTAAGTCATAAATATCATTCCTCTCATTTTACAGATGAGGAAACTGAGATTCAAAATGGGTAAGTCACTTGCCCAGAAAGTCAGAGTTGTAACTGTAAAACTGGGTGTTAGGCCTGGCATGGTGGCTAACACCTGTAATCCTAGCGCTTTGAGAGGCGAAGGCAAGTGGATCACCTAAGACCAGGAGTTCGAGACCAGCCTGGCCAACATAGTGAAACCCCATCTCTACTAAAAATACAAAAATTAACCAGGTGTTGTGGCACGCACCTGTAGTTCCAGCTACTCAGAAGACTGAGGCGGGAGAATCGCTTGAACCCGGGAGGTGGAAGTTGCATTGAGCTGAGATTGCACCACTACACTCTAGCCTGGGCGACATCTCCAAAAAAAAAAAAAAAAAAATTGGGTTTTAAACCTGGGTCTTACTGACTCAAAGTCTAAGCCAAGTTCCCTGTTTGAAGCATCCCTACCCTCCCAGAACCCTGGAGTACTCCCATGTTCCCCTCTCCACCCAGCTCACCTTCATTTCACTCTGATGTTTCTTGCACCACTACTGACTGTCATTCATGATGACTGCCACCTGCCTCCTTGGTTTTGCATTCCCTTTCAACTACTCCTACTCTAGTGACCTGAACGACTTGAATATATGTTCCACTGATTCAGCAGCTGGAATGCAAGGCCAGTGCTGAATGCTCCTGCCAGACTCTCTCAAGTCGTTCAGGTCGCTAGAGTAGGAGTAGTTGAAAGGGAATGTAAAACCAAGGAGGCAGGTGGCAGTCATCATGAATGAGAATCAGTAGTGGTGCAAGAAACATCAAAGCAAAATGAGCGAGACAGTAGCCTCATATTCAGTGTGGTCCCTAACTGAAATTTCATACCTGCAGCCCGTGGTAAGGGCTTGAAATTGTTTTATTGATAGTCATATAACTTCTTTCAGAGCAGAGGCCTTGTGTCAAACTTCTCTTAATCCCTGCAGTGCTACGTACATAATATGCATGTAATGAGTATGCACTCAATATACCATCATTGGCATTGCATTTGCAAAATGCTTTCATAGAAATGGCTTCATTCTGTTTTCACTACAACCTTATGAAATAGGCAGAATAGCCCTTTTCAGGCCAGTTTTATAGATGAGGGAGGTGAAGGCGCATAGGCTGCTGTGATCACATGATTTGACACATGATTTGACAAGGGGTTGAAGCTGACCAGGAGTCCAGGCCTTTGCCCAGATTTCTTATTCACTCATGATGCCAGAGTCCCAAAGACCAGTTGGCAGTCCAGTGCAAGGCTTGCACTTTAAGAAATTTCCCGTCATGGCACATGCCTGTAATTCTAGCTACTTGGGAGGCTGAGGCACAAGAATTGCTTAAATCGGGATATGGAGGTTGCAGTGAGCCAAGCCTGGGTGACACAGCGAGATCCTGTCTCAAAAAAAATTTTTTTTGCAATAGTCCTTAAAGAAATTACGAATGTAACGACAGTACAGTTTACTTTTCGTAAAACTAAAGTTATTTGATTTAAAGAGCTATCCTTTGTTTTCAGACTATGCCCTTCCTACTTTGATGTAAAAATGTTTGCTCGTTTACAGTGTTGACAGTTGTTATTTCTTGACATACCAAAAGTTGCCACACCTTTCTCTGTCCCTCTAAACTTTTGGACATTTGCTGATATGTAAAATCTAAAGTAGGAAGTCCTACATTACATTATATCATACCATATCTTTTGAGTAAATAAACGAATGAAGGATTTCAAACAACCAAAAATTCTTATGCTACCAACTTACCTAGGAGAAGTATCCAAACTAGAGAGATTAGATTGGTAAAAATTGGTGTTGGGATGTCTTTGGTCTCACATTGTGCCAATGCATCATCTTGGGTTTGGGGTTGGGGGAGGGGTTTAAAAAGAGAGATCATTCTCCAAAATAACTGGATTGAGGTTCTTTGAGTAACAATGCTTGACACGATGCCTCTGTGTGTGTGTGTGTGTGTGTGTGTGTGTATGTGTGTGTGTGTGCGATTTTCTTTCGACAGCCTGATCAAATACTCTGCCCACTTAAGGGAAATTGACCTTGGAAACAATGTTCTGGGAGAAATGGCTGCTGCTGAAATACTTGAAGCACTGAGAGCCAGAAAGACAGGTAGAGTGCTTTCAGGTTACGTGTTTCCCCTCCACCTGCCCACAGCCACTCACTCCTAAATGCTGTACTACTCACAACTTGCTCCGCTTTTTTCATTTAAGTAACTGGCCCGAACTATGCAATGACCAGGAACACTGTCACAGGCCAGCCATCATTGTGTCAATTTTCCTGGTGATTTGCACAGAGTTCAAGAATTTCTAGGATGTCATATGTAGCCTTCGATCTAAGTAACACATGTTTTTAAAGGGAAATTTTCTCTATTGCTTTTTTTCTCTCTTGCTCCTCTCATCCTTGCCTATTCTCCAAGAAATGCTTCCCCCACTCTCCATTCTCTTCTCAGCCCAACCTGCAGAGAGGTCTCCAGATATCAATTAGAAAATTCAAGTAACACCCCCCATAAGATTGTGATGTGCTTTCTGGATCATCAAAGAATGATTAAATTGTGATCGGCATAGGGAGAGCAATACGTCTTTTATGATGCTGCAATCCTTTGAAAAGGAGAGAATCACGTGTGGAAGGAGTTGGTTCCTATGGCCACTCCTGCCCTCTCCATCGCCAGCACGCATGACCGGAATTAACGATGGCTGCTCACCCTGCTAAGGCAGAGGAGGGGAAGAAATGTCATTTTAAATGAAGCTCGAAGGAAGACTTCAAAAACACATTTGAAAACGCAAATTCAACCTTAAGAAAAGTAGAAAGAACTCTTAGTGTGTTACTGGGCAGGTTAAGCTGAGAGAATTAAGTAGTCCAAGCATCGGTCTCTACCATTTCCTCAGCATGGTCTTAGAGACATAGTATAATCATAGATTGCATTTGTCTTTTAATGCTCTAGAGTTTTAGATAGAAGAATTGTAATGATATTACTATATATTGTATTAACATTTTAAAAACTAAAACTCCAGTCAAGTGATTCCATGATGTTTAAATTATGTCTTTATTTTAGAGAAACAGAATATCTACTTTCTATTCCTTTAGAGTTGAATTCAATTTCAGCAGAATTACTCTGTTAAATTTAGTTCAAATATAGCTTTAAGCTTGATAAACTGAAGGCAGGTGAATGATTTCATTTTGTTTTTCCTGGCACCATAGTAACTTTTTCATTATACATTGAGGGAGAAGATGTTACAAGTCTGCAGGCAGTCTCGTGACCATGACTCTAGTGAATGCTAATGACAATCAGTCTCAGATGACTTGATGGAAAATGATTATCTCTGAGTACGTATTTGGAGCTGGAAAACATCATGCTTTGCTTAATAAACGTTTTAATTTGCATAAATGAGAAGATAATTATGAAATACCCACCTGAAAATACAAATACTCATTTAGAAGGCATTAAAAAGTAATTTATAGTTCAAGAAATCATTTTTTTAAAATATAGTAATATATATAATGAGTAGCCTTAATGCATCTATCTCTTGAGCTGAAATAATTATGGTGTTTCTGATGGAACACTTCAATTGGATTGTTAGTTTGAACACCAAGAAGATTCCTCAAAACAGGGTTAACTGCTTGGATTTTATAGGGAAAATCTCTTCCCATTTTGCCCTAACGGCATCATTTTAAACATTAAAAGCAATAGTAGTATTACTGATTATGGAAAGAAAGCTCTTTAATTGATTGTTTCTTAACATTTGCAAGTTAACAAGCTAATTTCTAATTCTAATTCTAATTCATTCGTGAAATCCAAATTAACAGCCTGCGGTCTCTTACTTGGCTATCAAGGAGATCTTAATAACCTGCCTTTAATGATGGACTAGGCCAATGAAATCTTCCTGAGAGAAATTAGCAACCTCATTTCATTAAAAAAAAAAAAGCTAGTGAAACAGGAAGCTGTTATCCTGTCTTACTGCTTTTTCACTAATAAGAAAACAGAGTACTGAAGGAACATTTCATTTATTCATTCTTCTTTCTTTATGTATTTGTTAAATTCCTATCATGTACCAGGCCCTGTTCTAGACCCTGGAGAGGGGAGTCATGAATTCCTGCCTTTGTGAGGCATATATATGATTGTATATCTGATGGGGATCATACTTAGAGGAAAAATAAAGCAAATAGGGGGGTAAAGTGTGTGTCAGGGTGTGGGGGTTGCCATCTTAGTGAGGGTAGCCAGGGAAGGCGTTGCTGAGAAGGGACACTTGAGTAAAGATCTAAAGGAGTGACAGAGCAGGCCACATGAATATCTGAGAGTTGAGCATTCTGGCTAGAAGGAACAGCAAGTGCCAAGGCCTTAAAGTAGAACCTCCTGGTGTGTTCAGTAAAGCTGCCAGCATGGTTGAATGGAGTGAGCTAGAATGGGAGAGTCAGAGGACAAACAATTTGAGATGCAAGTATGCAGAGCAGAAAGCATTCTAGACCCTTATGAGGACTTTCAGGTGTAACTGTTGACATGGAAAGGCTTTTGAGAATGATAAACCTAGAAGTAACCTAATGTAACCCACATTTTAACAGGATTGCTCCAGCTCTATGTTAAAAATAGACTATAGGGGAGGCAAGGGCAGAACAAGGATTCTAGTTAGGGAGTTTTCTCTGGAAAAACTACACAGGGCCTTTCAGCAGACCCAGAACACCCAGCAAGGTGGAAAATGTGGGTTGGGGAGAAGCTACAAGTATGAGAATTAAGGAAAATTGTATCCATTGAGCAGTTGAAATTCAGTCCTTACTACCGCCCCAAGCTTATCTGCCCTGCTTCCAGAAGGCTGACAGCCCTGTAGAAGATTGGGGTATTCCTTGAGAAATTGAATAGCCCTACAAAAAGAAATTCTAGATGCTGACAACTGGCCATCTCCTCACCATTCAAAGAAGCCTAGCAGGTCAGCAAGCCCTGAACATACATGAGAGCTGCCCATCAGCCTTTGTATGTCTTATGCTTCATTGTGAACAGATACCTGAGAACCTCCAGACACTTGAGGCAAGTAGCCAACAAGAAACAGAGGGAATAAAGGAACCCTGAAGATATGGAAACAATGCAGAAAACTAAAGAAAAACAAAAAAGCTGTAACATTGTAACATTCTGAATGGAAGAAAAGATAAGGCATCCATAAAAAAGGAATGGGGTACTATGAAAAAAGAACAATTAGAAAATAAGAAAAAATTTTTGGAAAGTAAAAAAGATAGCCAAAATAAAATATTCTGGAAAAAAAAAAAAAAAGGTTGACAGTTAAAATCAAGAAAGTCAGGCCTCTGCTCCTCCAGTTCGACAGACAACTGCATTTTCTCACGCAGCACCAGCTGCGCCCCTCAGACACTAGGGTGAAGGTGAAGGCCAGATAAACAGATGTGTCCATAGTAGGCCCTGGTCACCAGGACTGCTTTTAACTCTGGCAAAGTGGATGTTGTCACCATCAATGACCCCTTCATTGACCACAACTACATGGCGTACATGTTCCAGTATGAGCATGTTCCAGTATGAACAAGGCCAAATTCCACATGACCTCCAAGGAGTAAGACCCCTGGACCACCAGTCAGAGCAGAGAGGACGAGGGAGGCCCTCAGCTGCTGGGGAGTACCTGCTGCACTCCGTCCCCCACCACACTGAGACTGCCCCCTCCTCAGTTTCCAAACAATTTGAGATGCAAGTATGCAGAGCAGAAGGCCTTCCAGACCCTTGTGAGGACTTTAGGGTGTAACTCTGTTGAGATGGAAAGGCTTTTGAGAATGATAAACCTAGGAGTTACCTGATGTAACCCACATTTTAACAGGATTGCTTTAACACAGACCCCTGAAGAGGGAAGGGCTGAGGAGCCCTGCTTTGTTGTGCACCATCAACCAAGTCCCCTGTACTCAGCTCCCCCTCACCCAAAGAAAGAAAGTCTTCAGAAGTAAAACGAAAGATAAGAAGATGAAAAATTGGTGAGAAAATGTAAGAGACAGAGGATCAACTTACGAACGTCAGCGTCTAACTCAGAGTTTTCAGAAAGAGAAAACAGAGAAAAGTGAAGACAGGGAATTATCAAAGGAATAAATAAAGAACCGTCCCAGAACCAAGGAACGTAAATCTGCACATTGAAAGAGCCCAATGGGTGTCCAGCACAGGGAAATATAAAAAGTACATCATGATGACATTCAGAACACTAGGAATAAAAAGGGGATCCTAACAACTGACTGAAAGAAAACAATTTGCATCCAAAGGACTGGGAATTAGAATGACATCAGACTTCCTAACTAGAAGTTAGGGGCAACAAAGTTCTACTATGACAATTCTATGAGAAGTCTATACGTTCCCAACTTCTAACCACATATGAGGCCAAAATAATGATGTTTTCAACATGCAAGCATTCCAAACATGCACCTCCTCTGAGTCCATTCTTAGGAAACTTCCAAAGAACATGCTTGAGCAAAATGAGAAAACAAAACACGAAGACAGGCCAGGCGCGGTGGCTCATGCCTGTAATCCCCGCACTTTGGGAGGCTGAGGCGGGTGGATCACTTGAGGTCAGGAGTTCGAGACCAGCCTGGCTAACTTGGTGAAACACCCTCTCTACTAAAAATACAAAATTAGCCAGGCATGGCGGTGAACACCCATAAGCCCAGCTACTCAGGAGGCTGAGGCAGGAGAATCACTTGAACCCAGAAGGCGGAGGTTGCAGTGAGCCGAGATTGCACCACTGCACTCCAGCCTGGGTGACAGAGTGAGACTCTGTCTCAAATAAATAAATAAATAAAAATAAAATAAAGTAAACCACAAAGACAAAGAATGCCAAGTTCAGAAATCAGAAGGCCCAGTACAGGACAGTAAAAAAGCGAGTCCCAGATGATGGCTGAGGTAAATCCAAATTGGAGCAGAAAAGTTGAAGATTTCAGAAAGGAGAGAGACTTGGGTAAAAACTGAACTTATACAGCATGTGAAATACTTAAGTGTTTTATCAACTGAGGTCAGGAGTTCAAGACCAGCCTGGCCAACATGAGGAAACCCCCATCTCTACTAAAAATACAAACAAATAAATAAAAAAGAAATACTTAAGCATTTTGAAAGAAATATTGATAAGTATATGAGAAATGACAGAAACCTGTGGGAAAATATTTAGAATAGGTACACAGAAAACTCTGCAAATGAAAAAACAGGCAATTATTAACTTAGAAGATAGACATACAACGAAATATGTACAAAAAAATACCAATGAATACACCAAGTGTTGATTTAACTAAAAATTGTGATATATCTTTATTGGGAGGCTTGGCAAGAGGAAGTTACAAAAATCAATATTTACATATTTTAAATGGAAATATCAAGAAATAATATAATAAGCACTTTGCTTAAAATCAGGCAGTAAATATCATGAAAAACTGCTGAATAAGTTGAAAGTGGCTGCCTCTGCAGAAGAGGACTTGGGGCCAGGTGCAGTGGCCCATGCCTGTAATCCCAGCACTTTGGGAGGCCAAGGTGGGAGGATAACTTGAGCCCAGGAGTTCGAGACCAGCCTGGGCAACCTAGGGAGACCCCATCTATCTCTACAAAAGAAGAAGAAGAAGAAGAGGAACAAAAGAGGAAGAGGAAGAAAGAAGAAGAAGAAGGAAGAAGGAGGAGGAGGAGGAAGGAGGAGGAGGAAGAAGGAGGAGGAAGAGGAAGAAGAAGAAAAGAAAAGAAGGAAGGAAGAAAGGAAAGAGAGAAAGAAAGAAGGAAGGAAGGAAAGAAAGAAAGAAGGAAGGAAGGAAGGAAGGAACCGGAAGGAAGGAGAGAGAGAGGAAGGAAAGAAGGGAAGGAAGAGAAGGAAAGCAAAGGAATGGAAGGCAAGGAAGAGAAGGAAGAAAGGAAGGAAGAGGAAGGAAGGAAGGAAGGACAGGAAGGAAGGAAGACCGCCAGGTGCCGGTGGCTCCACGACCCTGTAATCCCAAGCACTTTGGGGAGACGTGTGGGCGATGGATCACGAGTGAGGAGATCAAGACCAGTCTTGGGGGCTAACACGGTGAAACTCTGTCTCATACTAAAAGTACAAAAAAAAAATAGTCGAGCGTGGCTGTGGCAGCCTGTAGTCCCAGCTACGCAGGAGGCTGAGGCAGGAGAATGGCCAGAACCCAGGAGGCGACGCTTGCAGTGAGCCCAGATCCCGCCACTGCACTCCCAGCCTGGGCAGCAGAGCAAGACTCTGTCTCACAAAAAAAACAGAAAAAAAGAAGAAGGAAGGAAGGAGGAAGGAAGGAAGGAAGGAAGGGAAAGGAAGGAGGAAGGAAGGAAGAAGGAAGAAGAAAGAAAGAAAGAGAAAAGAAAGAGAAAGAAAGAAAGAAAGAAACGAAAGAGAAAGAAAGAAAGAGAAGAAAGAAAGAGAGAAAGAAAGGAATGAAAGAAAGGAAGGAAGGAAAGAGAGAAAAAGAAGGAGGAGGAGAGGAGGAAGGAGCGGGAGGCAGAGAGAAGAAGAAGAAAAGAAGGAAGAAGGAAAGAAAGAAAGGAAGGAAGAGAAGGAAAGGACAGTAGAAAGAAAGAAAGAGAAAGAAACGAAAATGGTCTGTAGCCAAGGGGAAGGGAGGGGAAGGGAAGGAAGCAGAAAGAAAGAAAGAGAAAGAAAGAAAATTGGTCTGTTGCCCAGGCTGTAGTGCACTGGCATGATCTCAGCTCACTGTATCCTTGAACTTCTGGGCTCAAGTGATCCTCCTACCTCAGCCTCCCAAGTACTTAGGAGTACAGGCATGTGCCACCATGACTGGCTAATGTTAAATTTTTTGTAGAGATTAGGTCTTGCTGTGTTTCCAAGGCTGGTCTTGAACTCCTGAAACCCAAAGTGCTAGGGTTGCAGGCATGAGCCACTAGCCACTGCACCCAGCCAAAAATATTTTTAAAGTGAGAATTGAAAAGTGCCTAGCTTTCTCACCAGGTAATGTGTTCTTGTATAACTCCAGGCCAATACCTAATGCTAGCTTAAATCATCTTAGTCTCCACAAAAGAACAGGAACTTTTTCCCGTATCATACACTTGGGATATGCTTCACTGAAAAATGAGCAGAATTTTATAAGTGGAAAATAAGTAGAAAGGATGACCGTAAGTGTGGCATCCAGGAAACATAACAGTCTTTTGTGAGCTTAGGTGACACATGAATCCTGTGAGGCCTCAGCTGGCCTCCATTCCACACTGCTGGCCCCATTTCAAATGGTCTGTAGCATATGAAACACCTCACAGCCTGCGTCATGCATCCCACACTGCCTCCTTGCCTCAGTGGTCAAGACTTTGACCTTTGTTTGCCTACTGAAGTCTTTACCTTCCCCTGCTTTGGACCTGTCCTCTTTATATTTCTAACTCTGAACTTTGTTTTTCTCCTTGACCACGATTTACCCGTTTCCGATTAAATACTGTGTCACATAGAGATAGTGTTTGGCTACAGGTAACAGAACCAGCTACAGTGCCCTACACAGTGGAAGAGGACTGGGCAGGTACAGCTACTGCCCACATCATCAATGTCCCAGATTCCTTCTCTCCTTCTCCACCATCGCCTCAGCAAGTGGCCCTTATCCTCATGGCTGCAAGGTGGCTGCCACACCTGTAACCTCTCATCTCCATTCCAGGCCAGAAGAAAAAGAAGGAAAGGACAAGGAAGAAGTGCTAGTATCTGATTTCTGGCCCGTTCCAAGTTGTGACATTCTTTTTTTTTTTTTTTGAGACAGAGTTTCGCTCTTGTTGCCCAGGCTGGAGTGCAATGGCATGATCTTGGCTCACTGCAACCTCCGCCTCCCGAGTTCAAGCATTTCTCCAGCCTCCCAAGTAGCTGGGATCACTGGCATGAGCCACCATGCCTGGCTAATTTTGTATTTCTAGTAGAGACAGAGTTTCTCCACGTTGGTCAAGCTGGTCTCAAACTCCCAACCTCAGGTGATCTGCCCTCCTCAGCCTCCCAAAGTGCTGGGATTACAGGTGTGAACACCGCGCCTGGCCTCAAGTTGTGACATTCTAAACCACATTGTCTTACACCTCCAGGTCCCTTTCCACATTCATCCACCTTGCCCTCCACTGCTCTTTCCTGTGCCCAGCCTGATTTGAGCTCATACTTGTACAACCATTTTCGTACTTCAACCTCAATTTACCCTCTGGAGCTGAAATTCAGTACTATTTTTGAAAGTTCTTGTTTTTCCTCTCAACTATATTTCTTATTTTCCTTTCTGCTTTTGGCTTCTCCTTGGAGAAGCCTGGCTTCCGGAAACTGTAGTGTTAGGCACCTCCGGCCTTTTAAGCAGGACCTGGCCACGTGGCTAAATGAGAAGCAGGAAGGAGGAGAAGGCAGAGTGCCATGGGAAAGAATATGGAGGAGGGGTTGACATAGGCTCTCTGAATAACAATTAGGGATTTGGGTCTTTATTTTATAGGAAAATCAATGAGAACTCTGGGTTTCAAATGATAGAAAACCAATTCAAACCGACTTAAGTACAAAAGTAAATCTGTTGACTCCTGTAAGTCCAGGGTGGTTCTAGCTAAAAGTCCAGCTGGAATCAAGGGTTCCCATAATGCCACCCACGTCTGTCTCCTGGGAGTTCTGCTGCTGTGTTGACTTTACTCTCAGGCAGGCTCTTTCCCACATGGGGGCAAGTTGAGCAGCATTAGCCAAAGGGTTACATTCTGCCCGGTTAATAATCTCAAGAAGGAGCTCTTCTTTGGATTTTCACTGGACAACCGTGGGTCACATGCACACCTGTTAAACAATCACTGTGCCAGGGAGATGAAATACACTAGACATCCCTGGGCTATGTGCATACCCTGGAGGGCAGGGGAGTGGAACCCTAAAACAAACTCAAGGTACTGTTCCAGAAAGAAGCTAAAATGGAAGCTGGGTAGGCGGAAATAAGAGATGTCTACTAAAGAAAGAGGGCCAGGAATGGTATTAGAGCTGGTAATGATAAGATCAGAATGTTGCTTTCAGATGATTAATCTGGAAGCAGGGTCCAGGATGGGCTTGGAGTTGGGGAAGTTCGGGATTAGGAAAACGACTTAGGAGGCTACTCTATCATCCAAGTAAAAGACATGACAGTGAGAATGGGAAAGACAGGACAAGTGTAAAAAGTTACTTCAGAGGTAAATTAATTGTCAGGACCACTCACGCCAAGAAGATATAAGGAAGAGGTATGAGGTCAGAGGAAAGTCGTTTGGCTAATAAGAATGTGGGAGAGCGCCTCTCTCAGAAGCCTAAGACCCACTCCCTCTAAGGTAGTTGTGAAATATCCTACCTGTTTATGATTATGTTCTTTCCCCATGCAGGTAAACTACCGGTCTTAAAAATTACAGTCACTCCCCAGATCTCTTCAGATACCTTCAGATCAATTTGGAAAAATAGCAAGAAGTCTAATACTATCCGTAAAAAGAAGAAAAAGGTAAGTTCTCGGACGTCTGTGTCAGTGAGGAGCAGCCACCAGGGAGTGCTGTGTGGAGCCTAGGCCCTTGGGGCAGATGGCACCATCAGCTGCAGGTTTTGCATTTGATTATATGAGAATTTAGGTTCTAGGTCATGCTCCTCTACACCATCATTCCAATCTGATGGATGATGATTGAACCAAGAGACAAGTAGTAAGAGAAAAACAGTTTCCTCAAAGATTGGCAGACTGGGCCTCCCCTCTTTAATTCCCACCGCTACCCAAATCCTAGTTGCTGCTAACCTATTGTGGATCTGAAAAGATAAATTTACCTTTAAATTTACCTAAACTCTTTATGAAGGCTGTGCTACCTCTTAGGAGGTAATGCTTTATGTATGTTTATTCTCTACTGTAAGAAGTTGAACTCCCTTTTTTCTATAATTTATGATGTCCTGTTTATTATTTCACAGACTAAAAACTGAATATGGGTGCTGTATTTCCATATGGATATCATCTATTTCCACGGCCAAGCAGACATGCCTAGATAGATATTGCTTATTCTATAGTAATATTTTTCACTGTAACCAAGTCCCTTTCAAGTTCTCAAATTTGATGATTATTGTATGAAAGTTTAAAGTCATGTGATAATCCTATCTTGTGATGATCCCATCACACTTGTCATTTTCTAAAATGTGGATTTCACAAGTAAGCCTTAGTAGAAAGAGATGCAGTTCTCTGAGGCTTCATCTCTCCTGTATATGAAATTTATAAGTTGAAGTAAGTCATAATTTTATCTAAGAAAGAAAGAATCCTCTTTCATAAATATACCTATAGTTGGGAACAATAAGAATGCTTGGAAATAATAACCACTTCCTAAAAGACACCATTCCTAAAAATGAGGATCTTCCCTAAATGAGGAAACTTTTTTTTTAAGATGGGGTCTTGCTCTGTTGCCCAGGCTGGAGTGCAATGGTGCAATCTCAGCTCATTGCAAACTCTGCCTCCTGCATTCAAGCGATTCTCCTGTCTCAGCCTCCTGAGTAGCTGGGATTATAGGCATGCACCACCACGCCTAGCTGATTTTTTGTATTATTAGTAGAGACAGAGTTTCACCATGTTGGCCAGGCTGGTGTCGAACTCCTGACCTCAGGTGATCCACCTGCCTTGGCCTCCCAAAGTGCTGGGATTACAGGCGTGAGCCACCGCACCTGGCCAAATGAGGAAACTTCAAATCCCTCTGCCCCACCATGAAGATGCAATACAGCCCCGTGAGAGATGGAAGAGGTGTGGTTGATTGATGTACGGATGACAGTGGGTGAGTTGGGTTTTATATGCCACAACAATACGGTACAGGATGAAGAGCATGGCCTGGGCAGTTAGATGAACCAGAAGTCTCTGTAGAGGAATTGCCACTTTCCAGGTACTGAGCCTGGGCAAGTCAGTTCACCTCATGTTCCTCAGTTTCCTCTTGTAACTGAGGAACTTACTATATGTAAGATATAGTTAAGAGGAGCAGGGCTGGGTGCAGTGGCTCATGCCTGTAATCCCAGCAATTTGGGAGGCTGAGACAAAAGGATCGCTTGAGGCCAGGACTTCAAGACCAACCTGGGCAACATAGTGAGACCCCCTATCTCTACAAAAAATTGAAAAATTAACCAGCTGTGGTGGCATGTGCCTGTAGGCCTCGCTATTTGAAAGGCTGAGGCAGGGGGATTGCTTAAGCCCAGGAGGACAGCGCTTCAGTGAGCTATGATTGCACCACTGTACTCCAGCCTGGGTGAGAAAGTGAGACCCTACCTCAAAAAAGAAAGGAAAAAAAAACCAGTAGTGCCTATCTCAATTGGTGAGCATTGAATGAGACCACACACGTCAGGCATTTTAGAACAATGCCTTGTTCATATTATATACTCAGAAATAAATATGAGTGGCTCTTATTATTGCTGCTATCATTGTGGATGTTATAGAATTGAGTGGTTCCAGTTATTTCACCTATGACAACCACACAAGAAACATAGGAAAGAAATGAAAAAAAGAAGACTTAAGACCTCTTCGCTTTGAAGTAAAAATAAAAAACAAAAAAACATTTAACAAGTGCTAGCAAGTTTGTGGAATCAAACTAACTGTGGGGTAAGAATGGCATAGTAAATTAGCTCCACTCTCCAGGGTCTTAGGATCTAGTTAAGAAGACAAGATCTTCGGCCAGGCGCGGTGGCCCACGCCTGTAATCCCAGCACTTTGGGAGGCTGAGGCAGGTGGATCACGTGAGGTCAGGAGTTTGACACCAGCCTGGCCAATGTGGAGAAACCTCATCTCTACTAATAATACAAAAATTGGCCAGGTGTGGTGGCACATGCCTGTAATACCAGCTACTAGGGAGGCTTAGGCAGGAGAATCGCTTGAACCCGGGAGGCGGAAGTTGCAGTGAACTGAGATTGCACCATTGCACTCCAGCCTGGGCAACAAGAGCAAAACTCCATCTCCCCAAAAAAAAAAAAAAAAAAATTTTCTATTTTCTTGCATTAAAAGTCAACAATAAAGTATATGAGTTGGAAAAATATGCGTCATTAGGCAGGATAAGAAAGGCCATAGGACCATGGAGTAACAAGATCAATGTAACAAATTTATCAGAACTGATGTATCCAATATGTGAGAGCTCCTGAGAACTGTTCCTGCTTAAAAGAAATGCAAATAGGCTGGGCGGGCGTGGTGGCTCACGCCTGTAATCCCAGCACTTTGGGAGGCTGAGATGGGTGCATCACGAGGTCAGGAGATCGAGACCATCCTGGCCAACATGGTGAAACCCCGTCTCTACTAAAAATACAAAAACCAGCTGGTCATGGTGGCGCATGCCTGTAATCTCAGCTACTCGGGAGGCTGAGGCAGGAGAATGGCTTGAACCAGGGAGTTGGAGGTTGCAGTGAGCCGAGATCACGCCACCGCACTCCAGCGTGGCGAAAGAGCAAGACTCTAACAAAAAAAAAAAAAGAAAGAAAGAAAAGAAAAGAAAAAGAAAAGAAAAGAAAATTTAAAAAGACCTTTTTTGAAATTTGCCACACATATCCACTGGGTGGGAGTGTAAAATCAGTATACCCCTTTAGCGGGTCTTTTGGCAGTGTTTATTAAAATGAAAAATACATAGCTTTCGACCCGGCCATTCTGCTTTTAGAAATTTGTTTACTGTCACATGTGTGCAAGGAAATACATATGAGGATGTTCACTGCAGCACTCTTTATTTTACATGGGAAATAACTAAATTTTTCTCAAAGAGTTTCGGGAGAATAAATCACAGTAAATGTATGTGGTAGAATACTATGCAATCATTGAAAGAATAATGTGGATACATAAGTGCTTATATGGAAAGGCATTCAAGTAACACCATTTTTAAAAACAGGTATAGAATATGTGAAAAATTCATACAAAAATGAATTGACGTAGTATAATCCAGCAATTTCACGTGTTTGTATGTATCTAAAAGAACTGAATGTAGCGTCATTAAGAGATATTTGAACACCATGTTCAAAACAGCATCATTTACAATAAATCAAAGGTGGAAGTAGCCCAAATGTCGATGGAGAGATGACTGGATAAATTAAATGTGATATATACATAAAATGGGATATTGCTTGGTCTTAAAAACAAAGGAAATTCTGACACATGCTACAACATGGATAAACCTTTAAGGATATTATGCTAAGTGAATAAGTCAGTCACAAAAATACAAATACTGCATGCCTCCACTTAGATACTTACAGTAGTCAAAATCAGAGACGGAAAGTAGAATGGTGGTTGAGAGGATGTATGAGGAGGGAGTTATTGTTTAACAGGTACAGAGTTTCAGTTTTGCAAGATGAAAAAGTTTTGGAGATTGTTTGCACAACACTGTGAACATACTAAACACTGCTGAACTGTACACTTAAAAATGGTTACGATAGTAAATATTTTGCATATTTTACCACAATTTAAAAGTTTTTTTAAAAATTGATGCATCGTGTGTCTGCTTGTACATATACAGGAATTTCTGGAGAGTCTATTAATAGTACTTGGGTTTTTATTGTATTCCTGTTTTACTGTTTTTATCATTTGTGAGCTGTCAATTTTTAAAAACTTAAAATTGTTCAATAAATTATGATGAGCTTGTTAAACATCAGTAACAGCACTCTTTGCTTGCTGTGTGACCTGGTGCCAAAAGTGCAGAAGAAGCACAGTAAATCCTGTGATTTCCTGGGAGGACATGAATATGTGGTGGCAAAGAGTGGCCAGCGAGAACACAAAGATGAGTACATTTTTTCTAAGCACAGAGGGCAATCCAGCTGAAGAAGGCAGGGGAAGTTCTGTCCGATTTTGAGGAAAAGCCAGTCCATGGTACGCTTGGATGTCTGTGCAGACCAATCTCACGAGGATCCTGCAGAGGGGTGCCGGGGATGGCCTTGACAGGTAGGTCGGGGCCATATTGTGGCAGGGCTTAAATGAACAATCAGGACATTTAGATTTCGTTCTGATGATAATGTGGAGCTTTGGAACATTTTGAGCAGGAGAATGTCAGAGGAAGGAAAATTAACCAGGCATGTTAGATTGAGTGGGATTTAGACTGGGGAGGAAAGGCAGGGAAGAAGTCAGGACACCGTAATCCAGAAGCAGGGTGATGAGGTTAAGATTCCACAATGGGAATGGAAAGTTTGGTTGATTCTAGAAACTTCTAAAGAAAGAATGAACAGATAATTACGTATGAAGGGTGAGGAAGGGGAAACAGTCAACAGTGACTGTGGTTTCAGACCAGGACAGTTATACCTAGGAGAGAATTACATCTCAGGCAAAGAAAGCAAACTGTTGAAAGAAAGCTAAATTTTGCAAGAAAGGAAATGAACTCCCTTTCACCTGTCGAGTATGAAGCAACAATGAGTCATTCAAGCAGATGTCACCAATATCTAATAGAAAAACTCAGCAGATTTCAAAAAAGAGGTAAAAGCATACACACAGTGCTATACTCATCCACACCTGCAGCTTCAGAAGATTCAATGTGGAGCAATTTTAGACAAATGGATTAAAATCGATCCCCAAAACTCTACTTTCTCAGCAAAGTCACCAGGTTTCTAAAGAAGGCATCATGAAATTTAGGCATGGGTTTCTCTCTTTCATTTTTCATCTATTCTGAAATATTCTACGTCACTTCTTTTTTCACATCTGAAATTGATTTACATCACACAGTTGATGATTGACGTCTTACAACGAATGAAATATAATGTTGGGAGGATTTAAGGAATTCTCCAACAAAGGCTGATTGCTTTGGTCAAATGTACGCTTTCAGTATGGGGTGTGTGTGCACGTGTGTGTGTGTGTTGGGGGAGTGGGGCAGCAGGATTAATAATTTATGGCCACAGCACCGTCATCTAAGACCAAGAGAGGCAAATGAACTGGAGGGTTCCATCTGACCAGAAAAGACCAGCAAATGCTCAGGGACCTATGGACATGAACACAATTATTTCCAAGAAAAAAGATGAGCCATAACTCTTGTCTGACAAGTGTGATGGAGAGCAGACTTGCTTAGAAGGACATTCCCAGGAGGAGGTAGCATATACATTTCAGGCTAGCTTTGATCTCTAGCCTCTAGGAACAATTTTCTTGCTTTGTCATTATAGTTCCAAACATTGGTCCCTTTGGGGAAACTACTCCAGCTCAACAAGAAAATGTCATCAGGTTTGTTTTTGTTTTTATTTCTTTCCCTAGTGCAGGAAAGAAGTCCAGAATATGCCTCTATAGCATAAGGATTATTTTGAGCGAAAGGCATTTGAGAATCGACAGATGCAGGAAGAGTTGTTTTATTTTATTTTAATTTTTTCCCTGAACTTACCTGTCTAAAAGCAATGCCTCTCAAAAGAATTCAACTGTCTTAAATTCCTTCCCAGGAATTTTAAAACCAGGGAAGGTTGACCCTATCATTAGAATCAAGAAGTTGGTACTGGGATAATAAATCAGCTA